AAAGAATCATGACTATAAAGCAGACATAAATCTGTTTACTTCTTACGTTTATACTTTACATATGGTTACAATCGTGCTCCAAGGCATTTCAATTACATTTATGTGCGTAAATTTTCGAAGCTATCCCCCCAACTCATCGTCAGAACATGGGATACGTACAAAAACAATAAACCAAATTAATTCCACCATAGAAAGCCTGAATAGACTCGTTTAATTCAGCTAACTGTTTCCTTACACATCCCACAGCCTGACAGCGAGCTTGGGGAACAACTTCGAAAATTTATGCATTTTAGTTTGTAATTGCCAAGTAATATTACACTCTATATGGTTCTAAGATGGCGAAAACCAAAAGACTGCCATTAAATAAATACCTGGCCTCAAACGACCTCCGCCAAGGTATTATGAAGGATTAATCTGGGGGTAATTATGGAGAACGACGTTCTGCTCACTCGAAAAAAGTTCGGGTCGGATTTTGTGGAAATATTACGTTCACTGGCAAACATTATTTCGTCTTTGAAATACGAGGACATACGACTTCTCAAATGTTTATAATAAGCAGGCTTCAAATCAATACATGAGTACACAGTGGATAAGTACTCTAAAGTGCAACTCTATGTCGAGCGAGATATATATGACAAAGTTCGACAGTGACAAAAGTTAAGAGTATGAATTTTTAAACAGTTCGCTGACCTCATTCCACAAAGTTAACCTAAAAGACCAAATTTTTCTCCAGTGTTGCAAAATAATATGAAAAAATAGAATTGCGTTTAAAATACTCGACGATTAAATTCTCAATTGGAGGGCGCAATTTTAAACAACTCAAAAATTAATGCTACAGTAAAAGAGGTTTGTAATTTGATTCGTCTATTCAAAATGTCGCCGTGTTCACATGATTTATAAGCAAAAATACACTCCATGTGTCTTTTGCCTGACATTTTTTAAACTGGTGTGGAATGAATCGAAGCACCTGGTAATAACTTATCTTAATACTTCATAAACATAAGACTTGCTTTTATATGCAACCTCTTCGGCCCTATTAGAAAATAATTTCTGGTATCTTTCTAAATAATTTGATCATAATTGTGAGAAAGATAACATATAGTGCAAATTGAGATGCGGTCTTTTAAAAAAGCTAGGGAGAGCTAACCAAGCGCTGATTTATACAAGCTGCAGTTCCGTTCGTTTAAGATGTACACACGCTTTCATTTTCTCTACAGGCTTTATTCGGAAGTGCTGCAAATTGTGATTCACTCTCAGCTGATATTTGATAAAAATGATGCCG